TTTACCTGATTATGCTGCTTTTTGATTTTCAGACCTCGCTAAATATGTGAGTGTGATTGCTAGGTACTACCTTGCCTCTGGGGCTCAGATCATGCATTCGGTTTCTTCTATACTCCTACCCCACCTCAGGGCAAAGCTGTCTCACGGATGATGTGGTCTGCTGCTAAATACACTGAAAACAGCCATGAAGCAGGTAGTCCTTGAGCTTAAACTGTAGAGCATTATCCTATATTTCTAGTAAGGTTATTGGTTCCTATCGTGAATTCCTGCCCTAAATACCACCCTATTTTGCCCAAGGGGAGCCACCAGTAGCTGTGTTATCCCATGGCTTGTTGCAGGATCCCTGACTTCAGTAAAGCAAGTTTCTAGTGATATTTTAGCATTCCTTCAGACCCTGTGTCCCTGTCAGGATCTTTTCCATAGTTCCTACTCAGGTGCTAGATGCACAGCATGTAATCAGGCAGAGGGACAAAGACTGGATAAAAAATTTCTCAGCAACATTTATTTGACAGATTCATCCTCTGTGATCAAAGACCCCGTCTTGATCCTGTTAAATTTAATGGACATTTTACTAAAAACCTCAAAAGACTAGGATATGACTCTCCCTTATTTGTGAACAAGACCATTATATCATTATAGCTTTGGAAGAAATTAAATCCCTTCCCCTACTCTTTGGGTGGGAGGAAAAGGCATTTATTATGCTTCCTCCTTGGATAATGCCTGTTCTCAGAACTGGTAATCACCTGAGACAGGAGCTGGTGTAGCCTGTGTCAGAGGAGTGTGCTGTAGCAATTTCTCTCAGCATCATATAATTAGCCCTGAGTTTGGGAGATGGCTTCTACTAGATAGAGCTAAGTTTACCTCCATGATTGCAGCTGTGCATTTTTAGTCCCTGCAACTACTGGTGCTGCAGAGCCTGGCTTTGAACTTCCACTACTTTTTATTCTTTCCTGGGAGATTTGGTACAGGGAGGGGTGTTGAAATGATTTCTCTGTCTTCCCCCAAAATTTATATTTCTGGAGTGTGTCTCAAATGTACTTAGGAAAAGGAATGAATTCAGCAGTATCACTGTGCTAGCAGAGCAAATGTTTTGCTGATGGTAGCTATTTTCCCTTTCATGTTAGCACTGAATTTGTTTTGGTATTCTTGGAATGCCTTTAAACTCTTCATTTCTTCTTTAGAGTGAGCTGAAATGGTCCCTTGTGTGAAAGTTAGCTTTGGGAAGACAGCGCTAAGCCTCTTACGAGAGCAAAGCTGTGCCTGTGTTTAGACTCATTCCATCACCCTCTGTGGCATTTGAGCTGATTCTTCTTTTTATGCCTATCACTTTCTCATTTCCTTTGGCTAGGATCCCTCTTTCTTTCTGCTGAAATGTTTGGAGGGCAGACAATTCCGTGGCTGCCTGCAGATGAAACCAGATCAGTCTTCGGCATTGAGTTGTGTAACAGCTGCCCACTGTCACTACAGAGACAATTTTGGGACAGTGTCATCAGCTTTGTCAATCCATATGTGCCAGGGACATTTTTGCTGGATAAAAGCTTAAGTGCACATTAACTGGATCAAATTCTTAAATGTACATCTGAGATATGAAGAGTCAAATAGAACACCCAACTTCCATTAACCAAACAAAACTCATTAGTGTAATTCATTAATATAAGCCAAAGGTTCCATGAATTTCAGCTATCCATAGGCACATGATCTCTAAAAGGTCGTCCTGTGTTCACTTTAGTCAGTATATGAATATGTGTGAATGAGCAAGAAAAATTTTAGTATTCTCTTTGTAAATTTTAATTTTTTTTTTTTTTTTTTTAATAAAGCTTATAATTGTCAGGTCTGTGTTTATCAAAAGCATGTGACAAAAAGACCAGTATGAATACTATCAGGGTTTCAGTTTGACAAAGCAAGTGTAAAAAGACCTAGTGGAATGTGGCAAAGATATATATCGTAGCTTTCTAATAATAAAAATGTCCCACTCGCCTTAGATGTGGGACACCGTGTCCTGGAAGATGGCTTCTTGTTACCTTAGCAGCTGAGCCTCCTCCAGTGAGGGCATGCCCTAAATTGCTCCTTGCGATTGCATTAATTTCAGAACAAGGTGACAAGACCCCAGGGTTGGTAGGTCAGAACCACACAAACTGCATCAGATCCCAGATGGCTTCTGCTGGGAGGTTCAGCATCAGCCTGCCTTGTTGGCACATGCCAGGCAGCTGATGGACTGGAGGACAATGCATGGAGCTCAGACAGCTCGGGATTTATGCAGGTTTGCATAGATAGACAACTGAAACACCACGTGCTCCAGGTGAGTTGACTGCAGAGACCCTGCTGCTGAAAGTCTCAGAACTGAGTTTGGGCATGTTTCTCTTTGTCTAAACACAAGAGCATGGTCAGTTCAACTCACTTCACTTACCTGGTTCCTACCAATTAACTTAGCCACTAGCTTAATAGTGGCTTATCTTCATCCATTACCTTAATATTTCTTTAATTGACTCAATTTAAGTAAGAAATAAACCACATCTGGTGCAAAATTTGCTGAATGATTGAGATGTGATGCTGCTCAGTACCTCTCAGTCTGACATTAGCACTAGATCACTTCTCAATAGGCTTCTGAGTATCTGTAACATGACAACTGCCTTCAGGATAGCCAGAGGAAGGAAAAAAATAATGCTTATTTCTTTTATTTTAAATAACCATCTCATATTGTAAACAAACTAGTAAACATACCTTAGCCAGGCGTGCAGCATTTATAAATCAGTGTAAGCAGCTCTGTTGCTCTGATGAAATCAATTGGTATATATTGATTTGCATTTTTCATTGATCAGACCTGCCTGCATGAGATTAACCCCTTGAAATTATCTTTTATTTGAAAAGTGAGTTTGGCCTATTTCTTTGCAGCACGGAATAGCTTTTAATAGGAATGTGAACCCAGAATTCTGGGTCCTTTTAAAAAATGGACTTCGTTCTGGAAATCCACATAATAATTTTTTCCAGGAATAACCTGGGCTTTTTTCAGGCTGGATAAATTCCAGCTCAAGTAATTACACTTTGCCTTCCTCAATTCCTCCAAAGGTCTAATGAATTCAGGCACTCTTAGCATAACATTATTACATGCTGCTACTGTACATGGCTAAACAGCTGTTGTACTTCCCCCCAGTGACAATTACATTTCAGTGGTGCGTGAGCTGATTCCCTTACACCTCTCTGCTGGGGTGTGCCAGAACGATTCCAATGCTCACAGTCCTCCAAGAAAAAGCACACTGGTTACACGTACTTTTATCATGGTCTTGCTAGTCTTGCTCATCATTCTTTGTGTTACTGGTTAAATTCACTTCTAGATCTTGAACTACCATAGCTGGGAAAGTCTCAGAGCAAAGGACAGCATGTTGCCAGAGGTGCCAGGTGCACTGGCAGGCTTTACTCACATGGCACATGTTCTGAATACCTGAAAGGGCAACCCCCACTGAGGTAATTAGTTACATCTGTGTCACTTGACAGACCTGTGACACCTATGTTGGCTGCTGTCCATCTATAGTGAAAGAAAAGTTTAAAAATCTATAGTTACTGGAGATGGGAAGTTCATAGCTACAGTACTGCCTATTCTGCTTTACCTTTTGAAAGCGTTTTAGCCTCTGGTTTTTTGACTAGGTGTCAGTCCAATCATTGCAGCAGGAGCATGCTGCTTTGATGCCACCAGTTCCCAGTTCTAATAATCTAGTGTGACTCCTGAGGTTTGCAAAATCAGCTGCAGCGCTTATGCCTGACCCCTGTTGTCAGACTGGAGCCAGATGTCCCATTAGAGTCTCACAGAACAGAGGGCTTTCCAGGCCTTGTTCAGCTTCAGAAATTTTGCCCTTTTCTTAACCATGGGGATAGTGAGGATGTTTCAATGTCAGGGTTGAAAGCAACAGCCTCTTTCTTCTGTAGTTCAAACAGCTGAAAAGCAATCTGATGCCCAAATGTGATGCCAGGCTACATCATCTACGTGGGGGGACCTGTGCACTACTGGGGCAGCAGCTGACAGCAGGAGGGCTACAGAGAGAGTGAGTCTCAAAAAAATAAAGATGAACATGACAAGGATCAGAAGGGAAGGTTCTCTACCATGTGCTTTGCTGTTTGACCTTCAAGGATCCTTTTGGACATGCTGTAGGATTTCCAGTCATATGTGTTAACACCCAGTATCTGCACCTAGGTCTGCCAGATACAGTGGACACAATTTTTTTGTGGAGCTGCTGTGAGATGGGATAATCCACACTTCTGTATCTTCTGCACCTGTGGATGCATTTATCTTTCAGCCCACAAGGGGCTCAGTTGATCTTCTTGCATTGCTTGAGGGATAGGATTTCAGTTGGCAGCTTCTGGGTCAGGCTAGCTTTGGCATGTGGAGTAGCTCTGGGAAGGAGATGGTTTAGCTCTGAGTGTCCTGCGTCAGTCTGTCTCTGATGTCCATTAGGGTTTCACTGAGTGCTAATTTACAGCGTCCTTCCTGCATGGATGGCAGCTGTCATCCTACCAGACCCCTCTTCCGACTGTGACACTGACATCCTCGGTCCATGACGTGAAGAACTGGGAAAAGGCTGCAGCAGGGAGGTGGTGTGTGCGTGACCACCGGAGAGCCTGCCTTTCCTGCACGTGCTTCCAGAGTCAGCCAGCTCACATTTCAACTGAACTCAGTCTGGAGGTGGACATATTCAGCACACATCCTTCCTGAGGAAAGGCTGTCATCCCTGAGACACTGCTTCCTCCAAGCCCATTGACTTCCAAGACGTGGTATGGCGTGTAGAGAGCAAGTTAAAGCATTAGAAAAAAAGGTTTGGTTTCACATGTGTTACTGGGCAAATTGACATTCTCCAGAGGAGAATGTAGATGAGAATTGGGATGGTAAAAAAATGGAAAAAACTCGTGGGTTGAGATAAAGACAGTTTAATAGGGAAAGTAAAAGTCACACACAAAGCAAAATGAGGAATTTGTTCACTGCTTCCCATGGGCAGGCAGTAACAGAAACATCCCTGTGTTATCAACCCTGTGTTCAGCACAAATCCAAAACATAGCCCCATACTAGCTACTATGGAGAAAATGAACTCTATCCCAGCCAAATCCAGCACAGAGGCCACACTCTTCTCCTCAGCTTTAGGCGCCTGCATAAATGTTGACAAAGTTTTGCACATAACCTGAAGCATTTTTAGAGGAGGTGCCTCATGTGATCTGGAGTGCTGTCCATCTCTGGTGCCTCCATACAGTGTCAATCTCATTCAAGACAGGCTTCAAGGTTATACCTGCTGGCCTCCTTCCCCTACCAGCACCCATCCCAGCAGGGGTAGTAGCTGGGGTCTTTCTCTGCCAAGGAGAAGGGGAGTAAGGAGCTGATGCTGCACTACCCCAGTGCTTGAGGTTGATGCCAGACAAAAGGTAGCTGGTGCCCAGGCAAACAGCTGAAGGCTTAGTTTTGCATTACGGGCTGTTCAGACAGAGCTTTATTTGCTCTTTAGCTTATGCCAAATAGGGAATTCCTGTGGGGAGTAGACACTCAAACTAATGTTTGCCCCTGGGCTGAGGATGTGGGGACATTAAATGGCCAGTTTCAGGACGACCTTGTGCCCCTGTGTAATAGTCACAGAGATCAGTGGAGATGCGGCTCCCCTCCTCCTCTTCCTCAGTTTTCCTACTCTGTTGTCTCAGTTTCTTCATCACCCTCTCCTCTTCACCTTTCTCCTTAGTCTGCACAGATCCATATGGCTTTAACAGAATATCATTAACCTGCAGCACTACAGAAGGCTGGTGCTTTCTTAAAAACCTGCCACTTTCTATTTTTACCCTCTCTGAAGTACAGGCGCCTCAGACCAAGCTGAGGGGGCTGACCTGCTGCTGTGAACTGATCTTGACTGCTCTATCCCTGCACAAGTCTTATCCTGCTGGTGCTTCAGAGATGCCTTGGACTCCAGGTTGTACCTTTTCAAACTGTGGTCCCTTAAGAAATTTGTACAATACCCTGCCTAAAATGGGTAGGAGGAAACTTACCTTTTCAGATATGCATATGCAAATGAGGATGCTGTGAAATTTGAATAAGAGTATGTGGTTTTGCTCTGTTTCTATATTTCAAATTCCCTTCTTGCCCCATCCTCATTTATTTTTTCTCCTGGTTTCACAAATGTTGTGAGAAATGAGCTAATTTGCCTTTACGACACAACGTGTTACAACACAGGTGTACTTGTACACCCCCCCCAGCTCATTGTAAGTTTGTGTTGTTCACATGCCTTTTTAAGCAAGAGTCTGATAATAGTTTGCATCATTAAAAAAAAAAAAAAAAAGACTCTCCTTTTTTTGTTTCCCTCAATCTAAGTTGTATTTTCCTCATTTAATGTCTGGATAAGCAAATATTCACTGCTTTCATTTCATGTTGTTGCTTTCTATTCAATGATAATGATATATTTTCATGTAGTACTATGGCATATAAATTGGGATGAAGGGAGTGTAGATTGTTTTCTCCTGCAGGCTGATTGCAAACCTTCTCAACATTTACCAGTCATTGTACTGGCAGCCAGTTTAATCACATATTCATGGTAAGGGAAAGCACACTGGGCTTCAAAGATACTTACAAACTGCCTTTTTGTGAATGTCAAGTTATTTTGCCTCAGAATTAAAAAAAAAGTCTTAACACTATGAGATCCAGCTGGACACCCAACTTTCCAAACTCCAGGAATGCTAACATTAAAATTTGAAATTAAATGAAAACCGAATCTTTAAACCTTACCAAATCATCAAGTTTCATCTTGAAAGCTATCTCAAATGTCTAAAGTTCAAAACTTGTAGATTGTACTGGTGTGACTGAAAAACTTTTTTTTTTTTGCAGCAGATTTTCGCTTCAGTGTTCAAACTCTGGAGCAGAGGAACATAAGGCATAGTACCAGATTTGGGCATTTTATATATCCTCTAGTGAAAATTGCTTATATAACTTGAACACGCAGTTCATGCCTTGCAGTATCATCCTGACTCTGAGGACTCACCATGGTTGCTGGCTCCCAAAACCAGGCTGTTCCATATTGGCTGTTTAAATGTCTAAAGTACATTTATTAAAAAAAAAAAGTACATGGGCAGGTGGTTGCTTACCTGGAAATAACTCTGTGTTTACAGAAAGCCGTGGTTTGAGGGACCTTATTACTTACTACAATTTATTTCTTTCATGAGCTGGTAGGTACAAAAAAGGCTTCTTTTTCTTCTTTCTCCAGCTGCAACATAATGAAGTGGCACACATCAAAATCTGCATTTCCACTGCATACAAGGAGCAAGCTTTGCTGTACACAGGGCTCAGCTGTCATGGAAGAAAGACATGACACTGAAGTGACCACACACCGTTTTTTATTCTCTCCCTCACAATCTCTGCTGGATCTGGTGCATTCTCTTTATAAGAAACTGCTATTACAGTAGGGTGTCACTTCAATCCCTGTTCACAGGCGTTACTTCATAGTTTTTGGTTGGTTTTTTTTTTCACCATGAGATAATTAAAACGTAAGAACAGACAATTTTGGGATGGTTAAGTAAAGCCTTTGAGCTCTTTGTACTTCTGTACAAATTTCCAGGTAAATTTTTCAGTGCAGAAATCTGTTCTTGCCTAGGGGTCATACTCCAGTTCCTGCAGTCCCTGGGTCAGAGTGCTTTTTCTGATTTCATCCCACCAGGGAAAGCATGGGTTGTCTCAGTAGTGTTCATGCCTGCCATGAATCTCTTATTCCAAGGTCCCATGTTTCTACACTTAGGGCTGTGGGCTCTGAATATGTTGCAATGAAGGACCTGAAGCTGCCTAGGATCACAAAGTGAGGCCTTGTAAGCTTTGAAATGCCTCCCAAAGGGTACTACAAGGATCCTTGTAAATACTGTCCTGCTACTGTCCCTCTGAGCAGGATGGAGTCATCGCTGGTTTTATTGCTCTCCTTTTGAGGCAATAGGTACAGTCATTGTGTGGAAAGGCTGGAAGCTGTGATCTTATGACCTAAACGGACAATCTGCATGAAATTCTTGAAAGGTGAAAAGTTCTCTATGCGTGATTTTATCTATTAGTGAGTGTGGAAGGTTTTCACTGCTGTCCTTGCCTATCTTTGAAAGCATGTGATTTAATTTCTTCCTGTTATCGAGATTTTTGCTCCTGCTTTTTCCTCCTCACCTTCCTCCTTTTGTACATGGCTCCTGCTTCTGATGCAGCTTGTATCTGCTTTATACAACCCTTGCTGTCTTACCGTTCAAAACTGCCTTCAGTCTTGATAAGAGCACAACAAAAAGCAAAGCACATCATGGCCACAGACCAATATTGCCTCATGGAGCATCTTTGAAGTAACAACCTTGGTTTCTCACTTTGCTTAACAGCTTCTGTTTCAGACCCTTTTGACCCAGTTTTCACAGAGCTTGAGAACTCATCGCCCGCTTTACTTGGTGTCTGCTATACAGTTCACTCTGTTCACTGATTTCCAGTTGACCTTTCCAGTTTATCTTGCTTCTTTGCCACCAGTCAACCAAAGGGCAGGCACTGAATATGTTTAAGGCAGCAGGTTGCTAATGTGGGCACTGTTTGGCCAGTGGATGTGCATCCCTGCAGCAGTGTGAGGAATGACAGAAGGATGTACAGCTTGCTGGTAGAAGGCAGCTGATTTCAAAGCTTAAAGGCTTTGCATATTAGAGTCTGTGCCAAGAAATATTAAATATTATTCCATGTTCAGAAATAAAACCCTGCAGATGATACTGAATGGTATTTCTCTGTATCTTCCTTTCCAGTTTTTCCCAAAGAACTCCTCAAGGCCAGCGTGTAATTTTGGAAAGATTCAGTCCCTTCTGTAAGTGACTGCATACTGTACCTATCTTGTCTTTTCAATTATGATGCTAGTTTAGACTGTATATGTTCTTTCATGTCCTGGAGACTGACCCTGTGTGATTTTGCTTAGAGAATAATAATTAATTTTATTTTAAAATTAATCTAATTTTATTCTTTTACCCTTAGAACATGATTATGTTTGAAAGTAGAACAGCTCACTGGATTCCAAGAACTGGGTGGCTTAAAGGGGCAGTTATGGAGGCTAATCCTTTACTTTCCAAGTTGCTGACTCAATTCCCATTCACACAGTAGTGAGCAATGTTGCCATCTGACAACTGCCTGCAGCTCACATCAAAACGAGATGGTGATTTAAGGCCAGTCTTTGGGGCTGAAGGGAAACTGAAGGGAAGAAAAAAACCCAGAAAGACCCTCTAATCTCTACTGCAAGTTGGGACCCTGTGGGCACCCTTGGCTGAGTACCAAGAACTGAGATGAGAGATACACACATGGCATTCTGCTTGGAAAAAATCCTTATCTCAGTGAGTAAACTCAGCCCATCCTTCACAGGTCATGGTGTGACTCAGCCTTCAAGATGCTTTGCAGCAGCAATGGCCCAACTAGCCAAATGGTAATGTTAAAATGTGGTGGATGCTGGGTGCTTTCAGTTACATGAGAGTGTGTAATGGGTCAATTTTCTTTTAGAAAAAAACTCATGTTTAAAGAAGTCTGTAATTTCTGCAAAAATGCATGTAAATCTATTGGCATTCCTGAAAATCCCTACGTCTTCCAAGTGTAACACACTTCAAGACTTTTCAGGAATGAGGAAACAAAATTTGACCTCTTAGATGAATCAGCTTCCATGTTTGCAGTGGCACTACAAGATTTGGGATACAGTGCCATTAAAAGACTGTATGTGTTACCTCCAGAGCTTGCCTGTAATGAGAATATTGCTGATTTCATACCTTGATTTCAAGTTACTTATAAGCTGCATAGGTCTGCTAGGAGATTAAAATATTGGAATGAATGGAATGGGCAACACAGGGAAAATATTCAGCAATCCCTGACTTTCATAAAACAGAGACTTATCTGCAAAAATATCTTTTCAATCACTTGTAATTACAGCTGTCCACTGATAACCTCAGGACCAGGATTAGACATTAGATTAAGGCCATCAGGTGTGCTGGATTTTACAACTTGGCTGATTTAATGAGTTACTTCAATAGGTATTATAATTGATGTGAATTAATTTCTTCACTGCGTGACCAGATCTCCTTGTTAGAAGTCATGTTCCCTGATCTGGCAGACAGTGCAGCCTGGAAGATCAGTTCAACACACAAGGCTAAGCCATGGGAAAGCATCTTTTCTTAAGCAGAGATGTAGTTCTACCTGCTGCTTAAATACTACGCTATTAATTCTCTAATTCACAAGGGTGTTAGGGGATGCTGTCCAGTGTTCAGGACAAACAAAATCAAAGTTTGTTACAGTATTGATCTTCTCTGAGTGAAAAAACAGAGCAGAAAACCCTACCTCACTTGAAGCTTGCCCATCTCCTCACTCTTGTGTCCTCCCACATTTTATTTAGAGATACACAATTCACATGCCAGCTGTCCCTTGCGAATGGTTAGTGGCAAATGCAGTTCACCTCCAGATAGACACTCCTTCTTTTGCTAGCTCTATCCCGACACAGGAAAAGACAAACATGGCACTTCTGGAGGATTTGGGAGTGGAGGGATCCAGAGTCAGTGTTGGAAAAGAGAGGTGTGAGATGAAACTATAAAGCTAACAACATGCCTTTTTTTGTTCAATTTTCAACTGTCCTACTGTAGCATCAGCAGACCCTGATGAAAGGGTGAAAAAAGCTAGAAAAAAGCTAGGGTGTTGATTTCCAGTGTCAGTTGAGTCTCTGTCCAGGAAACAGAAAGTATTTTATAAAATATGCCTTTGCAGGTGCTGGAATATGTTGGGCTTTGTTACTGGTAAAAAATACCTTCTTGATTCTTTGTTACCCTTGTTCTCATTATAGAGTAAATGGGAGTTTTTCTCTGAACAATGGAGCTCACCTGATAATTTTGAAACATTTGGACAGTTTTGTTGCAAGTTGCTATTTTCAAGCTCAGTAGGAGGATATACAATACATGACTGATACATAACTCTTAGCATGAGGCACCAGAAACAAGTCAAGAAGGCAAAATGGAGAGCTAACTTGCTGGTTATACTTCATATGCCAAATGTTCTTCTCAAAACCGGAAGGCATGAGACATGAATGGTAAGATTTGTCTGTTAAATTCCATTGTTCTCTTCCTCTTCACACATTCAGTTTAACAACAGCCATGGTTTAAGATTAATTAGATTAGTTTCACGTATTTTGAAAGCCATGGAAAGATGAAGAGCAGCAAACAGATAAGATGCTCAGGAGAACCCCACTTTCCATTTCTGGCTTTGAGGTTGCATCATCCATTTCCACCTCTCCGCCACACATTCCTTATGAAAAACCCATTAGTTCAGATTGCTTTTTTGAGAAAAAAGCTTTTGTTTCAGAAGACAAAACCTCCTCACTGCACCTGTGCAAGAAATCCATGATCCTTGCCTGTTACAAACAGCTTTTGTACATTCAAGGCTGGGCAATTTCACGGAGAAAAAGTACAGATGATGTCCAAACTCAGGCAGTGGATACACATATTTTCCCACCAGTGCTGAATCTGAAATCACTGACAGATTTTAGAGTTAGTGTTGGCCTGGTGTAGCAAAAAAACCCTTACAGGTCTTACCCTCGAATGTCTGCACTCTCATGCTGGCATAAATGCAGTGATGATTTATGCCTGATTCACATTTTTAAGGCACTCAGAAGAAATTTGAGAAGAAAGCACTGAGCAATAATTCATTGGGCCCATGGGTGAAAATCAAGACACCAGAATATTCAGTAAAAATTAGATGGCCTGGGATGCGGTGGGAAACCTAGTTGTCCAGTTTAAGACAGATATCTAACTCTTGGATGGCTTATAAGACGTGATGTCTGTCTTGGTTCTCACATGTTGACCTAATCAGTTTCATACCAAAGTAATTCAACTTATTCACGCAGGCATGAGAGGAGAATGAGGTCTTTAAATAGTTAAAGATTTGTAAACATTGAGTATAAAATAGGTGTTATCTCCTGGTTTTTAGTTGTTAGTTCTTTCTGCTACCTGAATGCCTCATTCAAGGCTTTTAGTAGTATTAAAATACAACTTCTACACTATAGAGTAAGAGTTTGTTGCCTCTGCCTGTCTTACATGTGCTTCAAAACCTTTGTTTTACTATTTCCAAAGGAAGATTTTTAGCAAAAACCTGACTTCAGTTTGAGTTTTTAAATTTAAATTTGTCATAAAATGTACTTAAACTTATTATAAATGCAGCAAAGTAAGAAACAGGCTTTTTTCTTTTTTTTTTCCAAGGTCTTGGCTTTGTGTCTGCTGAGCTAATGGTGTCAGGAAAGCGAGTCAAACTTTAGCTGGTGAAGATGGACTTGTTTTCTCAGGGGTAAGTGGTTTCAAAAGTCTCTACTGGTGCACTTTGCTCCCTGGCAGGAGTGGGGAGCCATGCCTGATTTAATTTTGGCAGTTCTCTACATTCACATGCATACCATCAGTCTTACTCTATTTTTCATTTAGTCCTTTCACACAATATAGCAGGGAAAGAAGCATTTCTTTTAGCGAAAAACGTGATTGTTAACACATGAATTATCAGCAGCCTGCAAGCACAGCTTGCTGTCTTCCAGAGCTCACTTCTGTGTAGCAACTGACATTGCCCATTTAATTCAGCACTGACTTTATACAGGTTTCTAAAGCATCACTTACAGTTTTGTTATCTGACTTCAATAGCAAAAAACAACATAGGTGACCTATGTTTAACTCAAAAGAAGTAATAAAAAAGCATATGCTTATTAAGCAACAATATAGGAATCCTAATAAGCTATTTCTACAACTGCTTCTCAAACTAGAAGTATGTATTCTTCAAATGAGCGTTGGGTACTCTTTTCCCAGAAGCCACTTAGTACTGTGGCTGAGAAAAACAAATTGGTCAACAATGGAATGCAGTATGAGGAATGTTTTGAGATGAAGTTATGTTTCTTTCCTCCTCCTGGGTAAAAGCTTCCTAATCTGAATTTGTCCAAATTAAAATTGGCAGTGCAATCAATGTACTGATTCACAGACTAACTGTGGGTGACTCTTGTACAAAACCCAGGAGTTTATACCAGTCTACTGAGATTTGTCTTAAAAAAATATGATTTTCTGAGCTTTTATTATTTCAAGAAATTGGAAAAATACCTTTATTATTCATTCAAATGTAAAATAATTGATCTGAGATATAATTACCTTATAAAGCATATTAAATGATGTATTTTTACATAGACTTTAATACATATCAATATACTGCCTTATGTCTGGAAAAGTAATGAAATAGTTGTTTCTGAATTCCCAAGTCTGGGCTTCATTCTGTTGTAAAATCTTTCTTTTTATCCAAAGCCAAAATTCCTTGTGCAGTTGTTTTTTTGTTAGTGTTGTTGTTGTTTTGTTTTGTGTTGTGTTTTGGTTTTTTTTCCCACTGGAAGTCAAAATTAATGGACCATTCAGAAAGAATCTTTCCTCTGTAAGGAAAGATGCAAATCAATCATCTGCGTGCAGCTGATGTCCCCACATGATCACTTGTGCTCAGTAGACTACAGGGCATGGAAATACACCCCTATCTGCTGACCTGCTTATTCTTCGGGAGGACAGCTTGTTATTGCCTATCTGGTGGAGCTGTCTCCCTTCCTATCCTACTCTCAAACCAGGATTGTTCACTGTCCATCTTACTCAGATTTTTAAATATCAGACTCATTGTCTTTCAGTGTGGGGCAGTGCACTGTGACACCATAGGTTCTATCTTCTGTTAATCTCTGCATTCCTCCACTGTCACCCATTTACAGCCTACTGTTCCCATCACAGTTGTGGCTGTCTCAGTACAGTTTCAGAAGGCTTTAATAAAAATTATACGTTAGCTGTTTTTTTAAGGCTCTTTAAAACCCTGTCTGGCTTGGAACATGCTCTGTTATTATAGGAGGACTGTGGTTGGTTGCTAGCTCTCAGAATGCTTGTGAGCACAGAAAACTTTCTTACCAGCTCATCTCTTCAGCTCCTGCTCAGGTAAACAGGCATGACTGTATTTCCCTTCGTTTGTTCATTTTGCAGCAGTTCTACATAAGACTGTAAATTCTAAGGGATGTGTGCTGCCTTTTACACTCCCTCAAAAATTTGGTTATGTGCTATATTTACACTAAAAACAGTGTAAATATACTCTGTTATTTCCTCTAACAATAGTTCTGACAGACTCCTTGAAGCTGTTACCTGTGATGTGCTTTGGATCAAGCCTAATGAACTGCAGTTATTTGAGGGCGAGCTTATTGTCGACACCTTTGTCACCAGACCAAATCCCTTGGTTCTTTACAACAACCCTCCTGGATGCAGTAAATAAGATCTGTGGGCAGTGGCTGGATGATGCACTGCCTGAAGTCAGGCATAATAGTTTAATTGACTGGCTTCTGATTCGGTATATTTTGAATAGGTTAATCCTAATAATCTATCAGCACAGAAATGGAAATAAGGACTGAAATGTTAACATTGCCTAGTTTAGTTATGTTGAGGTGAAATACCCAAACAACTTCCCTCTGTGCAGAAGGGAGCTCAGCGTTACCAAGGCAAGGGTTGTTGATTTGAAGTAATGGACTTTCTTCTTTTAATCAGTGATGAGATGCTAAAAAGAATAAATATATTCAGCTGCAAATTTCACACAAAATGTAGTCCACAAACCTTTGGAATACAAACAGTGTAAAAATCCAGTGGGAAGCAGGCTAGCTCCAAGAAGTACAGCGCCCAATTTTGTGTGCTGTATTGTACCTTAGAGTATGAGCCCTTCTTGGAGAGATACAGTAGCTGGGTAAATCTCATCCCTTGTGCTGACAAGTCTCATCTTGCAAACAGGGTATGATATGTGAATTTAAGATTTAGTATGTATCACGCAGTGATACATAAATACCGATTAATAAATTGCAGCCCTGCAAGGATTTTAGTTTGTAGCATGTTTGTAGCTAAGATTTAATTAGTTGGCTTTACATTCTGAATATGGAAGTTCAGCACACACTTTTGTATGTGAATAGTCCCCCTGAAATCAAGGGGAACAACTATCAAGGTCATAGCAAGCTTCTTGTCTGCCACCAATGTGAAGCCTGCTGCAGATGTTTACACAGAGTATGATTTTTAAAATTGCATGCATTTATTTACTCTGATAGAATTATTTGCCCCAGGTCAAGTGAGTAATTTGTGTGGATCTAAGATTTAATCTCCTAAGGGAAGTCTCCTTTTTAATTCTTATCCTTTATCCTGTTCTCCAAATTTCTCCTTCTTCAAGTAGGCACTTCCACATGCTGCAAAATGTATTGAGCACCCATAGTTACATCTGAAAAATGTCAACAGAGAACACAAAATGCGTTTTCCTGTGTTTGAGAGCCTTTTTAGTAATTTGGAGTGGCAGCAGGATGACTGCAGCTGATGCAAAAGGAAAAGGTATGGTTATTAAGCCGCATAGGTAGCAAATTATCTCAATAGTTCATATTTAATCTTTTTTTCTGTTTGGGTTCTAACGCTGGCAACTGAGCTCTTGGTTCATGATAAAAAACCAATATATATTTAGTCTTAATTACAGTTCATCACTTCACTCTTTTAGTAATTTTGATTATTTTGCTACTTGATTCAGCACAAGAATAGAATCAAGTATCATTTGGAATGGAGGACTAGGAAAATAACTCCACCAAAAAAAGAGTTTGTTGAGTAAAAATGTGTTGTCTTATTGCCTGTAATCAGTAACACTAGAAGTGTGGAGGAAGTAAATGCTGTCCCTGTCTGCTGGCAATGTTGTGCTCTTAGCTGCTGATATAATTTTAAAATAATCCTTATCTGAGTGAAAGAAAATTCCTTCTCCTTTTCCTCAGAGTGACTGTTGTCCTAAGTGTGATATGTGCCATGGACGAGGGAACTAAAGGAACTTACTGCTTCTGGTTTTCCATCTTACCAAGTTCAGAAATCACTTTCAGAGCAATCCTGTTTAGTCACAAAGCTGTCTGCAGTTCAAAGATTATTGTGACATTATTATTATTAGAAATCACTGCAGGGACAACTTGCCAAATGAACCATTAAAAGCTAGCCAGAGTCACTGAACCAGAGTAAAATTCATTAACGGCTGCTTGGGGCAACATATGGTCTTGGAAGGTCTTTATCTTTTTAACCATTTGTCTCTTCCAGTGTCTGTGGCAGAGCCCTCCACTTCTCTTTCTATCTCATTTGAATGTGAATAGCCATTTCAAAACCTGCAACTTCCTTTTAGTGACAAGCTCATTTAGTGTCACTGTTCAATTGGACCATGTACTGACATGCAGAAATTTGAATTAAAGGGAGAAAACACCTTTTACTACTAAGGAAAATGGTAAGTTCTTCTCTGCTTTGAGACCTTTTCTTGAATCATTTTGGCTGTTGCTCTCCCCTATGTAATCTGAGCACCTCTCTTGTGGCTGTTGTTTTTGAGGCTGAGGTTTCAGAGGTGCTAAACCATTTTTATTTCAGATAACCAAAAAAAAAGGAGGTCGAAACACCGTTCCTGTAAATGGAGTTCCCACAATTAGAGCTTACGGTTCAAAATCTGAGCAGCAGCTTGCCTGTGCCTTATAGCATGTGCCAACACTGCCGTCTAGCTTCTGCAAGGGTTTTGTGCGCTTTTGCTTCTCGATTGCTTGTGTTCGTGTGTTAACACAGCTTTGCTGAGCCGCTGTTGGTGAGCCAAGGTCCTGTAGTATTGACTTCTGTTGGGATACACAGAATCATTTGAAGTGGTCACAGCACGAGAGGAGGGATTGAAGATGACAGCAGCACACAGTAGAGGGGATCTGAAGTGGCAACACATAAAAAAACCTGCCAGTCTGTATTTGGAGATAAGGAAATTAAACCCATCTGTCCACAAGGTATTTGCCAGCACCACAACTCAGACAAACCAGTTCTAGGCCTGTTCAGTGTTTCTAATCACAAAGCACTTGTAAAGTCCTTGAACAGGGCCTTCTGACATGTCACCCTCAAACATGTCCTTTGGGCTCAGTGTTGACTTCTGCATTCCTGTGTGTGTCTTTCTCACCCTTATCCTTCTCTGTCTCATACCATGCATACATTTTTTGACTCTTTCACCATGGAATATGTACCTTTTGTTTCTTGGTCTGTGGTGACTTGGGAACTACTTGCAGTCTGAAGTCCTGTCTTTAGGTTTAAATGCATTTTACCTCTGGTCATCTTGGGATTTTAAAAGATTGTTTGGTTTCCATTTACCATGAACTTGTGTGTGTTTACCAAAATTTGTATTTATATAGCCTTTAGGCTATAGGTAGTATTGCATATATAATAGAGAGGCTAAAGAAAGCATATAATTTTTATTAAGCAGGCAGAGAGCTCTATTAAACTCTAGTTTGAAACTGCACAAATCCTGCATTTTCAAACAGCATGCAGTGCAGGGTTGTAATTATGTTCCAGCTTCCTTGGTGGGGTAACGTGTAAGAAATTGATTATCATCATATGTTAAAGTGATTTAAAGCTGAATTTAGCCCAGAGTGGTCCAAATAATGATTTTGTTTCTGATTGTTTTCAGTAGCCTTCCCTAAATAACTCAGCTACAACATTAGAATCATAGGATCATAAAGGTTGGAAAAGACCTTCAAGATCATCAAGTCCAACCTTTGACCAATTGCCACCCTGTCAATTAGACCATAGCACCAAGTGCCATGTCCAGTCATTTCTGGACACTTCCAGGAATGGTAACTCCACCAATTCTGTGGGCAGCCTGTTCCAATGCCTGGTCACCCTTTCAGTGAAGAAATTCTTCCTGATGTCCAACCTGAACCTCCTCGGCACAACTTGAGGCTATACTCTCTCCTCCTTTCACTAGTTACCAGGGAAAAGAGGCTGATCCTTACCTGGCTACAATCTCCTTTCTAAGTAGTTGTAGAGCGTGATAAGGTCTCATGCGAGCCTCCTTTTCTCCAAGCTAAAGAAAGCCAGCTCCTTCAGCCACTCCTCATATGACTTACTCTCTAGCACCTTCACCAGCTTCATTGTCCTTCTCTGGACTTGCTCCAGCACCTCAGTGTCTTTCTTGAGGGGCCCAGAACTGGACACAGGACTTAAGGTGTGGCCTCCCCAAGTATAGACGGACTGTTACTGCCCTGGTCCTGCTGGACACACGATTTCTGATCCAAGCCAGGATGCCACTGGCCTTCCTGGCTATCTGAGCACACTGTTGTCTTGTGTTCAACTGGCTATCAATCAGCAACCCCAGGTCCTTTTCTGCTGAGCAGCTTTCCAGCCACTCTTTGCCCAGCCTGCAGCGCTGCCTGGAGTTGTTGAGGCCCAAGGTCAGAACTGGCACTTTACCTTATTGAATCTCATATTGTTGGTCTTGGCCCATTGATCCAGCCAGTCCAGATCCCTCTGCAGAGCCTTCCTGCTCTCCAGCAGATCAACACTCCCACCCAGCATCAGCAAACTGACTGCAGGTACACTAGATTCCCTTGTCCAGATCATTGATGAAGATATTAAACAGGACTGGCTGCAATATCGAGCCTTGGGGAACCCCACTAGTGACCAGCTGCCAACTGAATGCAGCACATTCACCACCACTCTCTGGGCCCGGCCATCCAGACAGTTCTTTACCCAGCAAAGAATGCATCTGTCCAAGCCACAGACTACCAGCTTTTCTGGGAGAATGACATGGGAGACAGTATCAAAAGCTTTACTGAAGTCCAGGTAGACAATACCCACAGACTTTCCCTCATCCGCTAGGTGGATCACGTTGTCATAGAAGGGGATAGGTTGATCAAGTAAGACCTGTCTTTCCTTAACCCATGCTGGCTGGGCCCGATACCCTGCTTGTCCTGTACATGCCATGGGATCATATCCAAGATAATCTGTTCCACAGCCTTCACTGGAACCAAGGTTAGTTATCCTTACATATTCTTATCAACCTTATAATTATCATGTATCCATGGGTACTGCTTCATGTTAATGAGGTAAGGTTGTATTTCAAAGAGAATCTTTTGTCTCTGTTGAAGCAGATGTTAGTATTGCTGAATATCTGGCTGAATCAATTAATCATTTCATTAAATAGAAGTCCTCTTAGCTATGCTAATCAAAACCATGCTGTTCACAATTTTTCCAAACAACCTCCTGAAACCTAAACAAACAAACAAACCACTTCAAGACTAATAAACCAGTCTTGCTCTGATATATAAGCTATGCTTTCTTAAAAAGGATTAAAAAGAAAAAAAAGATCTGAGGGGTATTTCATCAGCATTATGCATATATTCCTTTAGCCATCTCTGGTGATCTTATCTGAAGAGTTAAAGCTGCCTAAATGTAGTTATTTGCTGTACCATTTTCAATGTGACAAGAAACACATACTTTTTGTTCTGAACCACATCTTCATGGGTGAGGAGAGGATGATGGATGCTGAACACTGGGTCAAAGCCCTTCTCATGACATTCCAGAAGCAAGTTGAGGGGGTTTCTATGTGCTTCTTGACTTCTGTGAGTCAGCACATGAGCACAATCTGAACAGAGAGTTTGAAAGGGAAGGAAAGGTGGAATATATAAGCTAGATGATAACACTGTGAGCAGCTTCACAGACAGATTCCTCAGAGAGAGGTAGATCAGTTTATTAAGAAATGAAACAACTGGTATCAAAACTTCACAGGTATGGTTTAAGCCCAGTGGGCAACTAAGCACCATGCAGCTGCTTGCTCACTCCCCCATCCAGCAGGATCAGGGAAACAATCAGAAGCATAGAGGTGAAAAACCTTACAGGCTGAGATAAAAATAGCTTAATAGGTAAAGCAAAAGCCATGCACGCAAGGAAAGTAAAACAAAGAATTTCTTCACCATTTCCCATGGGCAGGCAGGCGTTCAACCATCTCTAGGAAAGCAGAGATGCTTAACAGTGCTTAACTCATGCTTAACAGTGAGTTGGGAAGACAAATGCCATCCCTCCAAATGTCCCTCCCTTCCTTCTTCTTTCCTCAGATTCATATGCCAAATATGATTCCATACGGTGTGGGAGACGCCCTGGATCAGTTGGGATCACTTGTCCTGGCAGCATCTCAACTTCTCCCAACTTGTGCACCACCAGACTCCTTGTGGGTGTGGTGGCTGAGGAGCAGAAAAGGCTCTGTGTAAACACTGCTCGGCAGTAACAAAAACTACTTTATATTATCATCAATGTTTTCAGCAAAAATCCTAAACACAGCCCCATACTAGCCACTATGAAGAGAATTAACTCCACCCCAGCCATGATCAGTACATTCTCTACCCCTTCTTTCATATAATTTATGTCATGCTCTAGTCCTACATTATTCAATACAATCTCATTAACACCTCCCATCCTCTTTCCAGCCTTTGATATAATACACAGACATTGTTCCATTAGTCTATGGACCACCTCTGCAAATGTCCATCAAATGCCCACAGATGTCCACAAAATGTCTGTTGAATTCATTTACTCCATGACTTTGGGCTCCATCTGTTCTAGTGGTCACTCAGGACAGGAGAGGTGGTGTGCTGAGTGGAGTTACTGAGCACCAAAGCCAGCTCAGGTCAGGTCACCGCTGTGCTGCAACTGTTTCTTCTAAGGCTTCTCTCCCCCATTGGTTTGTGTGGTTCTTGTTATAGTAACTCAAAATATGGCTTACAACAATTTAAAGACACACGTATTACAATGTCTACCCCTGGTCCTTTCATGCCAGGTTATAGGGTTTAGTATAATAATAAAGTCCTCCCCTTCTAGTCTGGGTGCAACAAGGGGTTCCAGCTATAGTAATTAGTCTCTACCATGGACTTCCATGGGATGCAGAGGGATAGCCTGCCTGACCATGGCCTTCACCACGGGCTGCAGAGGAATCTTCTCCAGCACATCAAGCACCTCCTCCCCTTCCTTCTTCTTCAGGGGAAGGACCCCTCACACTCTTCCCCCTGCACTGTGGACTCATCCACAGGTTGCAGTCCCTTTGACTCAACTCATTGGAGTTCCAGCCTGTCCAATACAGAAGCAAAGATACAACAGCAGTGCTCTGGCCACCTGCCAGCCCAGGCACATCGCCAGGCTGTTATCAGAGTGTTCCCAGCCACAGCAGGCTGAGGTGATAACCAGCACAGCACAGCAGTGACCAGCCACTAACAAGCACTAGATTGCTATACACAAGTGAGCAAGCCCCATGGCAAGCACAGAAGCCTGCTGGTTAATAATTAAACAGCAATAAGAGCTGAACATTTCACCTAGCACATTCAAATAAAATCTGTCATTATCGGAACTTGCTGAGCCCCACACTGTGTCCCAAAAAAGGACTGTCGTGTTTTAACCCCAGCTGTCAACTACACACTCCATAACTGTTTGCACACTCCCCCACTGTGAAAGAGGGAAAAGAATTGAAAGGGTAAGAGTGAAAAAACTCGTGGATTGAGACAGAGACAGTTTAATAGGGAAAGCAAAAGTCACACACACCAGCAAAACAAAATGAGGAATTTGTTCACTGCTTCCCATGGGCAGGCAGGTGTTCAGCCATCTCCAGAAAAGCAGGGCCTCATCACATGTAACAGTGACTTGGGAAGACGAATATCATCACTCCAAACTTCCTCCCCTTCCTTCTTCTTCCCCCAGCTCTATATGCTGAGCACAACACCAATACAGTATGGGATATGCCTTGGGTCATTTGGGGTCAGATGTCCCAGCTGTGTCCCTTCCCAATTCCTTGTGCACCCCCAGCCTCCTTGCTGGTGGGGTGGGGTGAGGAGCAGCAAATTCAGCTGTTGCTGCTGCTGCGTCCCCGAAGTCTTGCATGGCACCAGCCTGCGGTGCTGCTAAGCAGGCTTGGGAGGGATGCTGGGGAGTATTTTGCCATCTCGTGGCAGCTCGCAGGTAAACCATCTCTGCGTGATCACGAACACTCTCTACCCAGAAGGAACAAGCCAGAAAGGCTGATTTCCATAGCGGTGGCTGCAAAATGACACTTGAAAAGTTTGCAGCAGAGCAGAGCAACCCGTAAACCTACAATGATGAATACCTTGGCTGATACGCCCACATGCAGCTCCAAGTGCTTGCCAGCGGTGGAACCTGAGAGGAAGGTTGAGAAGACAACAGTAAAGAGGCCACAGCTTGGGGGTCAGAGGCTGTTTCTATCTCCTGCTCTTGGTGTCGTGCTGCTGGAGGTGTCCAGCTAGCCAGGGAAAGGAAAGGCTAACTACAATCTGGTGACTGGTTGAACACCACAGCGTGGACAACAGTGCACTGAAGCTGAGCTCTTATGGTATGAACAGTGAGGGCTGATCCAGCCAAACAGCTTTGGTTCTGAGAAAGTCAGTGGAGAGGCAGAGAGCCTGTCAGTGTAGAAACCTTTGGAGGGGCACTGACAATTTTCAGGTATTTGCAGGGTGATGCAGCTAACATGGGAGATGCTAAAGAAACTCAGTCTGAGTCTCCTGCTGACCTCCTTTCTCAGGGGAGCTGTTGCTGCTGTGCCCAAAGGGCTGTGTTCCCTTGTGCCAGGGCGTACCAGAAAGAGGGCTGGGGGTTGTCCCCGGACAGGGACTGTAGGTCTCACTGTCAACAGCACGGGCACTGCCAGTGCTGTGGCTGCTGCTCAGGAGGACATGAGACTGGAACCCCTCCACACTCTTCCTCCCACAAAGCTGCTGGTGAGGAAAACCCCTGCTGCTGATCAAGGGACCCCAGAGGATATGATGGCACAGGAAAAAGGTCCAAGCCTCTCCAGAGGAAAGTTTGTCCCCAGCTTCAATAGGTCTGTGGGCGGGATGAAGTGCTGCCAGTCTGTGTCAGCAGTGGGAGAAGAGCCAGTAGACTTCTGTTCTTCCCAGCTATGTAGAAAACCAGCACCTAAAAGAGATCCCTTTTACTTCCAGAATGGCTGCCTTTCAGCTCATAAATGATAATCCACTATGAACAGCCTGGAGTACCTTCCATCGTTTCATTTCAGTGACCCAGACATAGACTGTCCAAGTGGGCCCCACTTTGCCTAAGAGCTGACACACACACACAGCAGTCAGGAAGCTGACAGAGTATGACCATTCTGGATGCAAATCCCTCCTAACATGCCAGTGATGGGAGTGGGTAAGGGTCTCAATGCCAGCAAAGGGCAGAGGTGACAGCGAGGGTCTCAGCTCCAGCCACTGGGGCAGGACTGGTATGTGTGCCTCAGGTGCACCTACTGGGGGAACTGAGGGGAGTAAAGCGAGTGAATCCAGCATGCAAAGCAGGAATGCAGGTCACAGCCCACATGCCTGCTGCCGCCTGCTGTGGAGACAAGAGTGGTTGCATCTCCCCCAGGCACCAGGGAAAAGTATTGGGGCTGGGGATGTCACTCCTGAACAGAGGTGGGCTACCTGGCTAGCAGGAGGCTCTGAGTCCAGGCAGAGTGTGAGGCACATGCCTGTGCTGTTACCTGGGGATATCTGCGGGAGTGGGGCACCTGTTGAGAAGTGTGTGTGTTTGCTCCTGAGCAGGAAGCTGGACAGCTGGTGCGTGGGAATGACTAAAATGGCTCAGGATATGGGGCAGGGTTATCACACTAACAGAAGGGCTGTGCTGGTACTCTGGGGATCTGTGAGTTATGCGTGCTTTTGCGAACATCAATCCATACTGGCTGCAGAAAAGGGACGTGGCTGGCTGTGCTCACGTTCTACACGAGTCCTACTACTAATACATGTATGTGCTGTGGGAGGCAGTGCCTCATCTGGGAGGTAGCCTACAGAGCTGGCCTTGTCTGTGCTTTGGCATATGTGTCTCTCACAGGTAAAAATCAGTAAGATGAGGTCTTCTCCTAAGAACTGTTTATGATTTATTTACCTCTTCTCTCCTAAGTGCTATTCATGCTTTATTTGCCGCCAGACTACAGGACTCCTCCAGCCTTCACTCTGCATCCTCGGAGACAACACCAAGCCCCGGTGGCCAGTGCCCAGGGCCAGTGCCCAGGGCAGTCCCTGGGCCAGGAAGCCGCTCTCCCGCTGCCCGTAGAGAACGAAGCCCCAAGAGAGCATCACCACGGCAGCCAGCGCCTGCAGGACAAAGCGCATCGCGCGCTGGCGGCCACACTGCCGGGAGTCTCCCCCTGCTTTTATCCACCAGCGTCCGCTGCCTCCACCGAGAGGTGCTCCCAGCCCTGCTTCCCCCGGACACAGGGCAGGGCATCTGCCGCCGCCCGCTACCGAGCTCGCCCCAGGCGGCACAGGGCGCTCGGTCCCTCAGCCCCGGCGGCGCCACCGCAGCCCCGGCCTGCGCTCAGCGGCGGCTCCGCCCCGGAACACGTCATCGCCGGGCGCGGATATGACGGGACGGCGGCGGCGCCTCTGTCCCGGCAGGGCTCGGCGCTGCTCCGCGCCTCGGGAGGAGCAGTTCCCGTGGCAACGCCGCCCATGGCGGACCCGTCCCGGCGCCTGGCGGAGGCCGCCCGCCGCCGCCGCCGCCCGCTGGGGGAGGAGCGGCGGGAGCCTCCTGGCGCCGGGCGCTGCCGGACCCGCCACAGGCTGAAGGCGGCCGCGGCACTGGCCCGCGCAGGGAGCGAGGGACCGGCGGCGGTGAGTGCGGGCCTGGGGCGGGCGGGGGCGCCGAGCCCTACGGGTAGCTGGTCGGGGGCGTCCCCAGGGGAGGGAGCGGGCAGGGAGTGGTCCCGCAGCGGCCCGGGCGTGCCCCCAGGCCGTGAAACCCCGCGGGACGCGGGCCTCTTTGTAGCTGCCGCGCCCGTGTCCCTGCACTGGTGCTCCCCCGGCCCCTGCGTGTCCGGGCGTGTGTCCCTCTGGCCTGCACGGCGCGCTTGGTGCCTGGTGTCCCGCCGGCGGGGAACGCCTGCTCCCGGACTTGCTGCTAAATGCGGGCTTATCAGTTTGGAAGTAGCGTGGCGACTTATTCCCGCTGAATTATAATGCCTTAGAATAACGCCAATGCCTAAAATAATTTTTGGGAGGATAGATTGTTTTGTTTTTTTTTTACCCATGGTTGACATCTGTAGTGGTTTAGCCTCAGCCAGCAACCAAGCCCCACGCAGCTACTCACTCACTCCCCCACCAGTGGGATGGGGGAGAGAACTGGAGAGGAAAAAGCCAGAAAACTCGTGAGTAAAGATAGTTTAATAGGGAAAGCAAAAGCTGTGCACACAAACAAAACAAACCAAGGAGATTTTGTTCACTTCGTCCCATGGGTGGGCAGATGTTCAGCCACTTTCAGGAGAGCAGGGCCCCATCATGCGTAACAATGACTTGGGAAGGCAAACACTCCGAATATCCCTCTCCTTCCTCTTTCTTCCCTCCACTTTATATACTGAGCATGATGTCATGTGGTCTGGAGTATTCCTTTGATCAGTTTGGGTCACCTGTCCTGGCTGTGTCTCCTCCCAGTGTTCCGTGCATCCCCAGCTTCCTAACCAGTGTGGTAGTACAAAAAGCAGAGAAAACTTTGGCTCTGTATAAGCACTGCTCAGCCGTAATAAAACATCTCGATATTATTAACCCTATATTCAGCAAAAATTCAGAACGTAGCCCTGCACCACTAGTCACTGTGAAGGAAGTTGATTACCCCAACCAAAACCAGCATGACAACCTGATTAGATACAAAGGCAGTGTGTACCTGAGGATGGGTATAGGAATGACACCTGGTTGTTTCTGCTTCAGTCTTAAAGACAAATACTTATTTTGACAGGAACACATCCCTGGAGGTTGTCTAATCCAACAAGCTGTGTATAGTCCAGCATGAGTGCCCAACGAAAGAGGGTCAGGGCGTTCAGAAACAGGACAGGTCCAGCAGAACTTGGAAGGTGATAATATAGCTTGAGTGCAATTACTTGTTTTGACTGGTTTCTCTTAATGTACAGAACGAACTGTTCTTATATTTGTCATACATAAATGCTAGTCTTTTGGAGCTGTGTTTTGGAGGATACCATGTAAATCATAAACTTACTGACCACATCGAAGCAGTTACTTAAGAATGGGGAAGAAGACAGTCCTGCCTGTTACCTTCAAGTGCTCTTTAAAACTTGCAGCACTGAAGAACTAGGTCTCACTGTGAAGAGAAGCCTGACAAAGTAGTTAGGTCATGCTGCGTCTTTGTTCAGCATTTCCTTAGAGCTACTACTGAGTTTTGCAACGTTAAAAGTGATTACTATGGGTTTCCGCATCTAGATGGTAAGATTTTTGCTTCTCTGTCATATCAATCGTCTTTTATTTCTGTCTTTTCTAGAACATGACTTCAGTAGATAAAGAGTTTGCAGAAGACAGCAACTTTGCACCAAAAGCCAGCACCAGCAAGCTGCCAACAGATGCATCTCCTGACTCCAAATGCCCCATCTGCCTGGATAGATTTGACAATGTTGCGTATCTAGATCGCTGCTTGCATAGGTTCTGCTTCCGCTGTGTCCAGGAGTGGTCAAAAAACAAAGCAGAATGCCCCCTCTGCAAGCAACCGTTTTTTTCCATTTTCCATACAATTCGTGCTGAAGATGACTTTAAGGAGTATGTACTCAGCCCTTTAGAAAACAGCTCTTTTGCCAGCCCTGATGGCCGGAGATTTCGTTACCGTACTACCTTAACAAGGGAACGCCGCAATCGCAGTTCCCCTTCCCGAAGGATGCTGTCCCCTCCAGATAATGGGATGTTGTTTGAAGAGTTGTCAAGCGAACCAGTGCGTCACAGACACCGAGAGATTCATCAGATGATGAGGAGGCTGGCCTCAAGGAGGCAGGCTAGCGCAGAGGGCAGATCTCTGCGGCAGATTCAGGAGGAGGACATGATCAACTTCCGCAGAGCCCTCTACCGTACTGGTGTGCGTATCCGCGGCATTCAGGATGGCGGCCGCTATCGAGACATCTCCGCAGAGTTTTTCCGCCGCAACCCTGCCTGCCTTCACCGGTTGGTTCCTTGGTTGAAGCGAGAACTTACAGTCCTGTTTGGTGCCCATGGATCTTTGATTAATATTGTACAGCACATAATCATGAGTAACGTGACTAGGTATGATCTCGAAAGTCAGGCCTTTGCTGATGATTTAAAGCCATTTTTGCTGAATCGGACAGAACACTTCCTGCATGAATTCATCAGTTTTGCTCGTTGTCCTTTTAACTTAGAAGCATACGATCAACATGCCAATTATGATTGTCCTGCACCATCATATGAGGAAGGAAGCCATTCAGACTCATCAATTATTACAATATCTCCAGATGTGGCATATTCTCAAGGGCCAGATAACAGTTCGTCTGTACCTGGCCTTGGTCAGGCCCCCTGGGATGATGAAACTCCAGGACCTTCCTATTCCGTTTCAGAAGAGGTTCGTGCAACCATAGCTTCTCCTTTGGAGTCATCGGAAAGTTCTGATGAGGACTCTGCTACAGGGAGTCAAAGAACCAAACTGCAGACTCAGTTACAGGCTAATGTTGACTCAAATGACAGTGGCTCTTCCTCAGACAATTGTGTCATTGTTGGGTATGTAAAGCCATTAGCTGAGAGGACACCAGAAGTGGTTGAACTGTCCTCAGACTCTGAGGAATCCATCAGGGAAGAGAAAAGGGAGGATGTCAAGAAACAGCGGCCAGTCCAGTGTCACAGCTGGAGTGACAGTGAACGAAGCAGGAGCTTCTCGCCGTGTTCCCCAACGTATAAGGAAGATGCAGGTAGTTGTAGAAGCTGTTTATCTCCTACAGTTGAGAAGACAGAGTCAAAAGAAGATGAGAAGAAAAAATGTAAGGGAAAAGATCTGCCTCCACAGGACTTGAGCTGGAGCCCCTCTCCAGGGAGTGACACAGTGTGTTCCCCTTGGAATCACAGGAAGGGAAAGTCTAGAAGCCCACAGTCCTGTTCACGGAGCAGTCGAGGCAGTCATGGCCATCGGTCTAGGAGGGAGCACCATAGCAAAAGCCAACTTAAAAGGAGACGATCAAGAAGCAGAGATAGCAGCAAACACAGGAGCAAAAGAAGCAGTAGAAGGTCGAGGGCTCGTGACAACAGAGCCTCTCTGAAAAGCCAGAGGGGCTCTCTGAGTGGTGAGAGCACTCCATCCAGAGAATTAAGCAGATCACGATCATGTAGCAAAGGCTACAGTAAAAGGAGATCAAGAAGTAGAGACAGTGATCGGTATTATGTAAGAGACAGTTATCAAAGTAGACATCAGTGGGGTTCTGCTTTCTGTAGTAGAAAGGTGTTTGGGGATAGCTATGAATCCTCCAGTAGGAGGAGGACACGATCTAATACTCTCTATTCGAGGCAATCTGCTAGTCCAGAATACAGGATACGGTCATTTATTGAAAGGACAGACCTGCATAGCCAGAGGGGACTCCATGAGAGACACTATTACTGTTATGAAAGATGCAGGTCAAGGAGTCGGTCGAGCAACAGGTCAAGGACTCCTTCTGGAGGAACTGACAGAATGAAAAGCGAAAAGCCTGGTGGAAAAAGGAAGTACAAAACTCGCCACCTGGAGAATGCATTCATGGAGAGCATAAGTCTAGAAAGAGAAAATGACCCCAAGAAAACTTCCTCAAAATTCAGTGACTGCTGCAAAAATGAAGATAGCCCATCAGACAATCGAGCAAGTAATGAGATAAAGCGTAAAAAAAGGAAGAAGAAGTTGAGGAGTCCAAGTGTAGAGATAGTCTACGAGGGAAAAGCAACAGACACAACGAGACATCTTAAAAAAAAAAAGAAAAAGCATAAGAAGAAACACAGGAAACATCACATCAGTAACTCAGCACATTCTTCTCCAGTGGTGATTACAATTGATAGTGACAGTAGCAAGGAGCCAGAAAGTACTGAATGGGACAGCAGTATTACATGGACAGGCACAACTCTGAAAAATGAGGGGGGAAATGAGTCTCCATCTTCTTTCCTGAGGACAAGATGTGAGGAAACTGGAGAAGCAGACAAAAAGTACAGTATCCCTACCACAAGGGAAGACTTAGATGGTGACATTAGAAATCCTGATGTCAAACTTCAAGGAACAGCAGCTGATCAGAGTGTTATCACAGCAGATACCAGCAGTAACACCTCTCACACAGAAACTGTAACCAGCTATGTTCAGGAAGCACCAGCAGCGCCTTCCAGTCAACTATCTTCCCCCAGGATTTCCTTCCCAGAGCATCCAGAGAGACAACCATTGATACTAAGACTGCCAAAGAGACTTGTCAACAAATCCTCTTGGTTTGGTTTCCCAGAAGAAAAAATGTAGCACACTTTCCATGGAACATTTCTTGAAATTGTGAATTTAACTACTTTTTTTTTTTCCCCTTAAGAACTAAAATATCGGGTAGGATTTCTCTCTGTTAAAAGATGTCTGGGAAATGTGTAAAACCTTTGAATGTGTATGCACTTTTGAGTCAAAGAAGATAGAGTATTGCTAGTATGTAACTTTAAAAGGTTTTTTTTGGAAGACTGTTTAGAAATTGTAATTTTATAAAGCCATCCACAGTATTTCAAAGTTTTGCTTAAACCAAATGACAGGAAAGGAGCCCAAACCAAAAGCCAGAAAATTAATTTTATGGGGATTGCCCTTCTTAGACAAGGGAAAAAATGTTTGGTTCATAAGAAATTATTCAGTCTGAATTCCAGCATCATTTCAATTTCTTTGGTTTAAGCTGATCTCTGCTGAAAAGTAGTCAGTGATTTCTACAGAGATCCTCAGAGGACTTCTAGTAATTTCAAGGTAAGCTATGTCAAAATCTGAATAAAGCAATAAGACTTCTTTTTTTTTTTTAAACATATTTAATATGTACTATGTGTTTTGCAAACAGAGCATTTTTCTTTTGGTTTTGGGTGTCTTACCTATACAGACCACTGGATGTTTGTGCAGTCAGGAGTAGTCTAGGTTGGAAGGGACTTCAGAGATTTTCTGGTCTCTTCCTTCACTGAAAGCAGGAACTTTGATCAGATTGCTTGGGATTTTTTCAGTTTTTAAGTTCTCCCAAAACTGGATGGCCCCTTGTGCTACCCCTTCTAACATTTGAGTGTTCCCTTGGGAAATATTTTTTTTTTCAGATTTATTTTCTTTTTATTCTTGTTGTAGCCTTGTGTCCTGCAGCTGTGCTGCTCTCAAGGAGGCTGTTTTTCCTCTTCTCTATGCCCTACCACTGCATACTTGAAGACATCTACCTTGTCTGTAGCCTTGGCAAGAGAGCAGCTGCTCTCTCAACCTCCTTGCAATAGCCAATACTCACCCACCTCAGCACACCCTGGGTGTCCTGCTGCGTTTATGTGCAAGGCACAGGGCTCCAGGCAGAGTCTTGTTCTCCAGCTTTGTCCCTTATCTGTGCACACAGCAGTAGCTCTTAGGGCTGGATGAGAAAGATGCCTTCTCTCTCTCCTGTATGACTGCCTTCATGAGTTTGGTGGGTTTGACCTTGGCTGGTTGCCTGCCATATACTCTCCAAGCTTCTCCATTGCTTTCCTTTCTCCACAACACCGGGGACAAAATAAGATGAGAAGGCTGGTTTGAGATAAGGACAGGGAGATTACTCTCACTGGCCAGATAGCCTCGGGGGCAATTAGTGTCTTCTGTTGCCAATGGAAAATTGAGTAGGTGGATAAGAAACAAAGACAAAACTAAAACCAATTCCCCCTCCCTTCTTCTCATCTTCACTCTTTCATTCTAGGCTCTTCTACCTCTTGCTCTCCATCTGTGCAGAAGGATGGGTTATGGTGTTGTGGTCAGTCCATAACACTGTCTTACTCCTCATAACTCTTTACACTGTTCCTCTGCCCTAACATGGGCCCTTTCTACAGGGGTGTAGTTCTTCAGGAACAGACTGCTGCAGCTGCCAGAAAACCTGCTCCTATGTGGGCTCCTAAGCACAGGCTGCAGATCCTGCCAGGCAGCTGCTCCTGTGTGCAATCTCCATGGACTGTAGCTTCCTTCAGGGGATGTCCACCTGCTCCAGTGTGGGGCTCCTCCGCAGGGAGCAGGTGCGGTTCTGCTCCACTGTGATCCTGCATGGGCTGAAGGAGACAGCCTCCCTCACTGTGGTCTTCATCAGCCCAGAGTGCCCAGGCTGTGGTGAAGGGCTGCTGCTGCCTGACCAGTCAGCAGAGGTTGGCTGAGCCTGAGAGAGAGTCAGGAGTGATGGCAGTCAGTCCCCTCCACTCTTGCCCCTGAGAACATCCCTGGGCTGCAGGAGTCAGACTGATCTCTGCCTTGGGATTAGAAGATTTTGGGGAGCACAAATGTATGAAGGAGCTGGGTCACTGGCAGGCCCTGGGACCACATGGTGGGAACCATAGTGGTGGCATCACTGTTATCTGGTCTGGAGGGAATGTGAGTGCTCCCTTTGTTCTGCTCAGTCCCAACAGCCTCCCCAGCTTCTCCTGGGGAGGGAAGGGGTCCAGAGGGGCTGGGGTGTCCTCAGCCCCAACAGGTGGCTCTCAGTGATTGTGGATGCATGTGCCTTTGACTGGAAGCCTTGGTCCATTCACAGAGCTGAGATATCCTTGGCAATAGTGGGACTTGTCCCTTGGAGTGCTGGGATAGAGGCTGTTGAGTGGGCAGGGCAGGCAGGCAGGTGAAGATGTCACATTAGGTACAAGGGAGAGGTTAGGTGTACAGCCCTGACAGTCGGTGATGGTGTGGTTGGGAGCCTCTGGGTGAGGATGAGGGGGTGGAAAACAAAGCAGATGTTGTAGTGGGTGTCTTCTTCGAGTTGCCCAACCAGTATGCCAGCGCTGAGGACTTTACAGGCAATTAGGGGAAATCTCTGGATTGGCAGCCCTTGTCCTTATGGCAGATTTCAGTTTCCTAGAGACCAGCTGAAAATGGTGCCCTCTGTGCTGTGCTGATCTGAAAGACTCCTGAAGTTTGTGGGAGAGAACTTTTTGTCATGAGTGCTCTGTGAGACAACTAGGAAAGATGCCTTCCTAGTTATGCTGGTTGGGAATCAAAGAGGCCTGGTGGGAGATGGCATGGTCATGGCCACAGTGCTTATGAAATGGTTCTGCTTAAAAATGTCAGTGCAATGAGAAAAAAGAAGAGCAGAGTGATACAGTGGGTTTTGAGAGAGCAAATGTTATGCCACCTGGGAGTCCCCTGGGAATCTGGTCTTGAGGGCTCAGGAGCTGCATGCTGCATGGGATCTCCTGCAAACACTGGAAAAGAGCAAGCTGTCAAAAGCATTATCAATACTTCAAGGAGACATTTACACTGTGGGGAAACTTCATCTGTTTGTTTTTCATGACACGCGTTACTAGGAAATTGTCATTAAAATGTGAAGGGTTATCTTCTGTGTATAGGGCAGTGAACACAATTGAGGAAAATGTGTCTGCCACAAGCAGCCATTGCTTTCCAGTGCTGCTTTATGTAAACCAGCTCATCATTCCTGCTGCACCTATCTGCGAAGTGGGAGTAAGCAGGTCGACTCACAGTGTCAGCTGCTATTAAGCTATTTACTTCTGAAGAGAACTGTTTTGGTTTAACCCCAGCTGTGGCAACTAAGTACCAGGTAGCTGCTCGCTCACTTACTCCTTCCCTGGTGGATTGGGAAGGAGAATCCGGTTTAAAAAAAAGTGAACACTTTTGGTTGAATTAAGAACAGTTTAATAATTGAAACAAAGTAAACTGTAATAGTAATAAAAGGGAGAGAGAGAGAGCTCAAGAGAAACAAGTGATGCACAATAAAATTGCTCACCAGCTTCTGGCCAGTGCCATACCCAGAAAGACCCTCTCCTGAGTAACTCCCCCTGTTTATATACTAGGCATAACATTCTGTTGTGTAGGATATCCCTTTGGTCCATTTGGGTCAGCTGCCCCAGATATGCTCCCATCCATCTTTTTGTGCACTTACTAGCAGAACATGAGACACTGAGCGGTCCTTGACTCCGGGTGCTTAGCAACAGCCAAAACATCAGTGTGTCATCAACATTATTATCCTACTGGATCAGAACCAAAGCACTGTACTGCTACTAAGAAAAAAATTACCTCTATCCTAGCCAAAATCAGGATGAGGACTGAGATGCATTGATCAGCTCTGGGTAGGAATGAGATGCATCAAACCTCTTCCAGAGTTCACTTGGCATAATTTTGTAGTCTTAGACCAGAAGACTTCTGTCAGCAATGGTGCTGGATTTAATGACCCACATAAACTTGTCTGGGGCTGTTTGACTTTCTGTGGATATTCTGCCTAGTTTCCAGGTGCCTTTTGAGAAGGTATCTTATCTGCCAGCCCTAGGGTATCATGAAATATCAGGAGAGATATGAGAGCATGTAAACCCACCAGGGTTATCTCCTGCTCTGCATGCATGTACAGCATGTGGAAATGGGACCTTATTTGAGGTTCATCCTATAAGGAATAGATAATAACCCAGGGTGCACTGCACAGGGTTCTCCCCCTTTAGCTTCTGCTTGCTGTGCTTCAAATGAGTTCTCAAAGTTCATCTCATTGTAGTGAAATTCTATGAGGAAGAAGCATGAGGCAGTGTATATTCCTGTCTCCAAACTGGACTGGAATCCAAAGGCTGGCTGCAGAAAATGCTGCTTCTGCTGGTGTTCGTATCTGTTGAACATTAGTTGGTAGATCAGTCATCAGCAGTGTCAGAGATGGTCAGTGCCTCGGTTTTTAGACATTTGAACTGTCACTTCCCAGCAGGCTAAGACTACAATTCAGTAGGTTTCACAGCCTTTACTATGGCATGACAGAAGACCTGAAAATGACCCAAGCTTAGCTAGGCAACCTGCTCATCTACATTTTCAGTGGTCTCCAAAAGGGCAACTAAATTAACTGAAGGAAACCTGAATTAGCAAGGGTTGTCGGAAAGCAGAGGACAAACGTCCTCTATGGGATGCTCTGGAATGCTTAGTTCTAAAGAATTTTTTGCACAAGATGTAAAGTGACCCAGTGCACGTCCAAGTTACTCTTCAGTCCTGATGAATAACGTGAACCAGCGTGTGTGGCAATATTACCATTTTTCTTTGGAAGACCTGTAGCCCTTAGAGGTGAGGCATCCAGTGTGTTATGCACAGAACAAGCCACAACTAGGTGACAAGCTACTGTCAAGGCATTGAGATGAAAATGAAGTGCATAGGGGCAAAGAGGTGCAGAGCTATGAAATAACTTTTTTTAAGATCATTCACCTGGTAAAGCATATCTGGGATGGTAACAGTTTTATTCTCAGCCACCTACATGAACCAGATCACACGGCTCATTCAAACCACAGGGATTTGTGCCTTGAAGTCGTAGTAATTTCTTCTCCATTAGCTGAAGAGGAAAAAATAAATATGTGTGTGTGTATATGTGTACACACGTGCATGCATTATATGTTTTTGGGGAGAGAGGGAGAGAGAGAGAAGGGGAGAGAGCAGGAGTAAGCTGACAGATGCCTGTTGTACCATGGAAGAGGAGAGCAGAAAAGCAAAGGCAAATATTGTGCACCTCCTGCATGTGCTTCTGTTTCTTTTTCGGATATATGAGAAAGACATGAAAGAAAGGAAGAAAACTCAGAACAACATACCACTGAATGGACTGGTGCCGTGCGAGATTTATGAACTGCTAAATTTAGAAAAGTCATTTTACTGTTGCTGGTGTATTGCAGGCTCTTGTGCATGAGTCAATAAGAAAAAACCAAGTCACTTCCTCTCTGAAAGCATGTAGAAGTAACATAAAATATATTCCATTAATCTTTTCAACCACTGAATTTACTCTGGATAAACAAAGCATGTATCAAATGATATACCCTAGAAAGGTAATCAGCCTTATAAAATGGTTCACAGCTCTGCATTTCTCATTATTGTATTGCAAATAGTTTTGTGAATGGAAAAACTGTTCAAGCAGAATGTTAAACAGCATTCATTTGTCATTTTCCTGCACGGAGTAGGCAGCAACCTGCTGGATCTCAAAATGTGTGGTCATTATGAAGCTTGTATTGAACTGTTAATCTTTTTTTGCTCCTTCTTTTTCTCAGGTGATGTTCCTTTGTGATGGGTAATTTCCAGCACTCCTGCTTCAGTTGTCACAGGTGAAAATCAGCAGGAATCACACAGATAATTAAATACAGTGGATCATCACAAGCTCGTGATCAAGCTGTCTTCAGGTACTCTACAGGCAACCTCTAGTGCTTTACCTATAATCGTAGATGTTTTTTCATGGGGACCAGCTGTTCTCCAGATCACACGATAAGGATCAATACAGAAGAAACCAGTAATTTTAGGCTGAGGCATTAGTGAGTGGACATAGATTTCATCAATCCCATTGTATTGTTTATTTTTTTCAAGTACAAAAAAGGAAATTTCTGTGGTTCATTTTTCATGGCAAGTTGATGCAGAAATAACTCAGTAAGGCTCTTTGACTTTTGCTATGAAGTGGGTCATAGTAAAACAGTTAGATTAAATGTCCCTTCCAGGCTAAGAACAAAGAAAAGGGGAAAATAAAGCTATGAAGATAAAGAGTTCAGCAACAAAGCAAAACCTGATGTTGTTTAATATCACAGTCTTTTGTGCAGGCATCTCAATTTCAGAGCGTGAGAGATTTATTACAGGGTGATCGTTACACACTAGGTGCCATTGCTCACTTTAATACTAATGCAACAATTCCAGCACTCTGAATTATGATTAAAGACCACCATTTTTTTTTATTTTCGTTCCATATTTTCTAGTGTTATAGTGTGAGCTTTGGTATTTACTGTCAGATTTGCAGGGCTATATTTTATGATACCTTTTGGTTGGCTAAACTAGGTTGGAGTGATTATCCCGGGAAGATGAATAATCCTTTATTTAACATGCCAAAATGTGTGCTATAGGCAGAAATTAATTGCATTATTGCTCTCTTTTTGCACAGGCTTATTGATTGCTGCAGAGCAGTGGTGGAAAACAATACTGGTGTACAATTCAAAGGAAAACAGCCGGCACCACAACAAAGATTACCAAAGAACAAATCGATGTCACAAAATACCCTTACCATGTCCTGTAGCGAAATAGGTGAATAATGATGCCATCTCCTACACAGCACTAAGCAGACATGTTGAAAATAGTATGCAGCATAGTACCTGTGTTGTAACCACCGCTACCAGAGAGATGGTTTCTTATAAAGACACCTCATTGTCACCAATTAGATTATCATTATTGGTGCCACTTCCACATAGATTTCCTCCAGCAGTAATAATGTAATTGAAAAAATGAAATTTAGCCTTTACCCATGTAGAACTACTCTGTAATAGCAAATCAGTTGTTCTAACTAATTATGCTGAGCCAGAGCCCTGACATCTTTAGCACACTTTCTGGGCGTGCTTTCTCCTCACCCCATGTCAGGCTGCTGGATTTCTAAATTCAAAGAACATATATGTTGTCTGGAGGGAATATGGGTGAGGTGTGAGTATATAGGAGGGTGTAGAAGTAGTGTTGAGGAATACGTTTGGTGCAGGTGGCTCGATGTGCAACCTGCAGGTTGAGCTCTTGGGGGCAGGAGCCCCAGCTCAAGCTCCAGGCAAGAAAGAGGTGGTGAACTGCTGACCCTTTGCTTAACAAAGGGCACAGGGACCAAGGGACCAGACACTCAGAGACACAGCAGGAGCCAAGGACCCCTAGACTTTCCCATCATTAGAGTGTGAGGGTATAAAAGCCCAGGGTTTCCTTTGTTCAGAGTCCCTTTTGAGAGGCACCAGCTCAGGGTGTTAGTTTGTTACTTAGTTATTGTACCATGATTAAATTATTTTAAGGATCTAGTCGCCTGTGACTCTGGTATGGGAAACCTGAGGTCGAGCTGTTAAGGAAACTGGTCTGGCTGTGTGAGTATGGGGAGTGTAGCTGGGGGGAGACCTGGGTCCCAGCTCAAGGTGTGAGAGTGACTGGCTGAGTGGCTTCTGGATGATTGAACAGAGAAGTTTCCTTAACGGTGGGAAGGAATATTTCTTTCCTTACGCACAGCATGGGACAATGAGATGAATTTACATACCTCTCCTTCCTAAAAAAGGTGTCCTAGGGAGCTAAGAGTTTTATAAATTTAAGTGGATTTAGGATGACCGATGGCATTGTGTTTAACTGACTGCCTTGGCCTATTTCCCCTATTCAAGTTTGTCACTTGAATATTGTGCTATTTAGTGTGATTCTAGATGGATATGGATGTCTAGACTTTTAGCTGAGTGGAAGTTATATACATATCATGGAAGATCTGGGCTTCTTCATTAGAAGAATTGACTTGTTACAGCCATCTTTTGGCATCCCAGAGTTTGAGATAAAGAATAGACACCAGCAGCAAAGCTCATCTTCTTGTCAGGAGATCGTAGGCTCTTCTGCATGTTCCGTGTACGTAGAGTACTTAAGTGGTGATCTTAAAAAAACAGTTCATAGTCTAATCTCTGATGGTTCCTAGAAGTGGTCACCCAGTCTCCACAGATGCTAAAATAGAATTGGTTAGCTGAGAGTAATGCAAGAATGAGGAAAATTTATGGTATCCTGGGCATCTGCAGCACAAGAGCATCCCAAACCAGCATTATGAAATCAAATAGGTGAATAACTGTTGTAAGATACATCACCCTACCTGGGCTGTTTGTTTTTAGTAGTATTTTGCAGCTAAAACCCACATGCAGTTATGTACATGCATTTGTTTACACTTAATCAAGTTGTTCCTGAGGGGACAGTGGAGGTCTTGCATGGAACATCTTCTTCCCTGTTGAAACATCATAAAGAAGCTCATAAATAATAAATTTTATCAATGATTAGCAGCATCTCTACAAATACCTAAGAGCTATAGAGCTGACATTTTCCCTCTGCTGTCTCTTCTCCTATTTATTAAACCTTTTCTCCTTTTAGCACCTTTTCTGTTTATTTTTCTGCATGTACCCTAAACTTCTCCAGTATTTGATAGATAGGGCAACATGGAGAGAGCATGGACTGTGTGAAGGTAATGTCAGAGCCCTGAGGGCATTGCGTTCCAGGCCTCTCCCTGTGTCTCCTCTATCCTCACACACTGCAGCCCTGTAGTCTGGGGTTGTGCTGCTGCTGGCAGAGGTGTCAGGGGCTGTGCTGGGGGCCTCCCCAGCACGTGGGAGCTGTGCATCAGCTCAGCCCCTCTGTTTTGTCCTTGTGCCCAAGCTGCCTGGCTCCTCTGCCAAGCAGCCAGCTCTTGCCGATTGCCAGTATTTCATGGAGATGCAAACTGGTTGAGCTTCCAGTTACCTGAGCTTTGTGCTACCTGCATTGAGTCTGGCTGTGTCCTGCTCGAGTTCCAGCTCCTGAAGTACTATATTGTCAGTGCTACTAAACATTGGTCTAACAGGAGAAGCTAGAATATTGTCATGAGAAGGTTTTGTGTCAGCCCTGCCATGCTTTCAGGTTGTCATTCTGTGCAGCCCTTGACTAAAATGGCCAGGGAAGCAAATGTCTCCACAATGGTGAATAATTGAAAGGTCTTTTTTGTCGCTGATAATGTCGGAACGGCCAAAGCGACACGAAAAAAGGTTCCAGCAAAGTTTATTCCAAGAAAAAAGCAGGGACAGTGGGGCTGCTGCGCAGCCCCTTAAGTACAGTTTTTGAACACACGTAATGCACACGGATAGGACAGTTCAAACTTTCACACCAGAATTCTTACAGCTAATAGGTGCATTTTCTAAACTCTACTTTCTCACAACAAGTTTGCTCTTTCTCAAAACAGCCCAGTTCTTTCCCACAACAGTCCCGAGCACCCGCTCTTATTTTTCTCTCATGTTGATGTTCTTCCCAACCACTCTCATTCAAAACAGGTCCTTGTTCTCATGAGACAGTGCTCCTGTTCTCATGAGACAGTGTTCTCTGTTCCCACGGGACAGCTTCTTCAGGATGCATCAGTATGTTGTCAGGATCAGGGCCTCCATTTTCAGTCCTCTCTTTCAGTCCATCTCAGGGGTATACTTTGATCTGGTCAACATCTATTGCTTCGTCAGTATGTGCCAAGGTGCTGACAGACCCGCTGTCACCCCTGACACTTTGAATTGTGTGGAATTTCATAGCATTTTTGTAAGTAATTTTCTTCTCTTTTAGTATCTTATGTGATGTTTGCACAGCACAAGATAAAAATGTATCCTCTGTCCTCACACCTCCTTCTGCTGGATGGACACAGACATAGGGACTTGATTACCTTTATATGTAGTTTTTATCTCCATCTCCTCCTCTTAAGCCTTCTCATGTTTCTTGGTTCCAGTACAGCCTCTGCATGATTAACTGATCCATGTTCATCAGGTTTCCATCTGATTAAAGTATTGTCACACTGTATAAATACAGTGCTTACTGGACAATATAATTTTAAGAGGTATTACATATTGCACATTCTGGATTTATAATAGCTGCTTTTTATTACCAGCAGTATTAATCTTTAATCTGTTTGGCTGCTTTTCTTTCAGGAAAGCAAGAAACAGATCTGAGAATTTTATCTCCAGTACAGTTTTGATCTTCTTGCTTCCAGTCTGTTGTTATTATTTGTGCAGTCTGGGTATGTGACTAGCGAGTTCTGGTGAACTAGTTGTTTGGGATATTGTAGATGGCTTTCAAATACACTTTATATGCCTTGGAGTGTACTGGTGTGCACATTTCCAAGCCTTTCTAGGAGTATTTTGATTTTTGACTCAGGTCTTCATGGTCATGAACTAGTGACTGGTGAATGATTTGTCTTTTGATTGTGCTGAAGTCATGAACAGAGCCAGCCAGAGGCTGGCAATTCTGTTTACCAGCAAGAAGTTTCCAAGTTTGGGTTTTCCACATATTTGAGAAAAATAGCGACTTTTTGCAAGGCCTTCATCTGTCTGAACTCTTCAGCTGTGCAGCGATGCAGAAAGTACCTCTTCTTTTGCTAAAGGGGTACGTATCTAATACTAAAACTGTTTTTTTCCTGGTCTGTCTAAGCCTCCATTGGAAGTGTCTGGACAATGCTCTCAAACACATGCTATGATTCTTGGGGTTGTCTTGTGCAGGGCCAGGAGCTGTATTCAATGATACTTGTAGGTCCCTTCCAACTCAGGATATTCTATGATTCTGTGACTTCCAAATCCACATCTCACAGCCCAGGAAAGGAGAAAGGTGATCTGATTTCTTAGCCAAGCTGTGACAGCCTGCATTCAGGAGGAGAGGCTGGGAGACTGATTTTTAGCAGGGACTCAGTGGCACCATCTCCAGTCCAGCCCTGACTCAAGCTGCCAGTCAGCCTGGACTGAGTCGGGAAGAAACTCTCATCCCAAATTTCTTGCATGCAAGCAATTAAGTTCATGTCTCCCCTAAGGTTTTCCATGGAATTATAAAGCTATGGCTTTGCCTCCTCCCTCAAGACTGCATCTCTGCTTACATCGCAGCTTCTCTGAAACTTGAATTACTTTGAAAATAGTCTTTCTAGTTCTGATCACTCTTATAAATGTAAACAAGCAAGAGTGTCATCTGCTGAAACAAAAGTCAGTCAGCCAGCCTTCGCTTCTCAGCTTTTGCTGCCCTATCTGTTATGCCTGTCACAACAAGTTGTCAGACTGTCACAATAAATGGCACAAGTTTAGGATGTTGTTTTGTTTAGCCTTTGTATGAAATACTTTCGAGCACATTGTAGTAGAGGAGTATAATTAAAGTATAGCAAATTAATTCTGAAAGAGGGTAATAAGCTACATGGTAGTTTAAAATTGTTATAACAGTATTTTCTCTTTAGTTTTTGGTTACTTGGAAGGACTGTAAATTGTCATAGGTTATTCCAGTTGGGAATACTGAAGAAATAAATATTGATTAGAAACTTAGTGCTTGAAAGCCAGCAAACTAAGAATGTGAAGATTTCACTTACTTACTTAAATTACTAAATTGATAATTACTGCTCTTATGCAAGTTAAGATAGTGCAGCCTGCCAAATATTCACCCCATTAGAGGAAGAAAACCTGGTGTCTGTTCCAAGAAATAAAAATGCCTAACCATTTTTAAAAATTAGTATATTTTCCATTAAGTATTCCTCTTCTGTCTGATTTTCCACAGAAACCTGTCATTTTTCTTTCCCTTCTTTTTTATATCCTGGAGTAGTCTTGGAGCAGAGATGTAATTTTGATTTGAGTTCTCACTACTCTTACAGACGCTGATATGTCTGTGGCCCTTTTTAAGGTCTGTCACCATTTATCTGACCCTCTGTGTCACCTAACTCTACTGCCATCCCTTGTGCGTTTTGACATCACTCAGCACTGTCAGGATCAAACTTTTCTAAAGCCATACTGTTCAAACCCACCTTCATCTCCCAAATCATCACCATCAGCAGCATGGGCCACTTGTCATTCAGATCTATGACCTTGGTCAGCCTGGATCCTTCCTTATCTTGGACCATAGTTACCTCTTGTTTCAGACAGATGCTTTCAGAGGGACTATCCTTTCCTATGCAGAGGACTTCCCATCCATGTCCTTGGATTTCTCTGTCTTGACGTCCTTATACAAAGACATAGATATTCACAGAGCTCTGTGGCTGTGCATTGTGTCCAAGCAGTGTTCAGAGCTCCCATGAAATCTCCTGTTTCCTTCTTCCCTATTAGTTTTCTCTATTAGTCTTTTCCCCACTCCATACTTTCTTCCTATGACCAACACTACCAAATATATAGACATGAAAGGCAGAATAGCAATCTAAATGTTTAGATTATAATTTTTTACATTAAATTAAATTTAATCTTTGAATGTATTTCCCTTTGGTGTTTTGGGTTTCTTTTTCTAATCTCTGTTATTTTTAACTAAAGTTGTTCATTTACAGAATTGCAGAATTGCTGTGATTTGTGGGCACCTCTGAGATCATCTAAATGATCCATCAAAGCACGGTCTATTGGAGCAGGTTGCCCAGGACCATGACCAGTCAGGATTTTCAAATCTCCAGGAATGAAGTCTTCAGAACCTCTCGGAGCTCAACTGCTTGACCACCCTCACCACAAAAGTGTTTTTTTTTTAAATGTTTAAGTGGTGTTTATTTTGATTCAGTTTGTGTTCTTTGCCTCTTCTCTGCTCACTGGATACCCTTCTTCTTCTGTCTTCGTTACCCCTGTGTGGTTTATATACCCATGTGTACATGTATAATCCTCCCTTCATACGCACCCCCCTCCCCTTCTCCAGACAGAACAATTGCAGCTCTCTGAGCCTCTCCTGACAGACAAGTTAGCTAAGTTATTGCACAAGAATGTATATAATTCTGAAATTATATTAACCCAAAGCACAGAAGATCCCTGCTCAGCCAAGCTGGCCTTCTGCCTTACCTGATTGACTTCTCACGTTTGGGAATTGCTGCTTCTGTGCCTAAACAAGGTGATGTTCGAAAAGCACTGATGGACCCCAGCACCTGCAAAAACATTTTCCCAGGGGACCTTGCTTACTAATTTCCTGAGCGGCCTAAATGAATGTGCTCTCCTTGTGTCCAAAGCTGATGTTTCGATGGCACTTTTCCTCCTGTCAACAGAGGTTTTAAACTTGATCACTTCAGTGGTGCGAAGGGGCACCAGAGTAAGTCAGTCGTGTTGAAGAATGAGGGGATAACCTATCTGGATATCAGTGCAGATTGTTTTGGATAAGGACCCCTCTGTTTAAATAAAATTGTTGCCATTTCTGAAATTTGAATTGGCCTCAGTTTTCTTGGAAAATTGTTTTCTGTATTTTGTTTTGTCTCATCGCCTTTTGTCTACTACAGCCCAGTGTTTGACATTTGTATGATTTCAGTGCTTTAATTATGGCTTCATTTTGACCCTGTCAGAGACCTAGAGATGGTGGGTTTCATGTCTGTGTTTCTCACATGCTGCTTGCATAGCTGTTATAATTGAAAAGAAAATGCCATCATTAAGATTCACTTTACAAAGTTTGACAAGATATGTGAGATTGCAAATATCTGATTTCAAAAAATGTCAAAACCTCAAGAAATGCTGTCAGTGCACTATGAGTTTTTTCCCTATTTTGTCTCTAAGCCTGATACAAAATAGGGGTAAAACTGGTGTGTTAATGATGCTTCCTGAAGTTTTGAGGTTACCTGAAGTCAGATATTTGCAACCTCACAAACCGAAGCCTGGTCCAAGATAAACACAGCCACCAGCCCTGTTCTTGGCTCTTACCTGGGGGAGCTGGATTGGATTACAGAACAGTTAGTGCCTGTTCATCTGAGGAAAGACTAATGAGCTTAACATCATACTGGTTGCTTGGCTGTGCAAAGCTGAGACCCAGTAAAAGATACCAAATGTTGTTTTTGATAACAGAGAAAAGCCCTCAACAGAAACATTTACTGTTAATGATTCCTCATAAGAGATTTCAGTGGAAGGACCTTACATCTCTATTTTTTTTTCTGAACAAGTAGTATTTTTATTTTCCAAATGTATTACTGTTACAAAGGAAAATAAATCATAGTTCTCAGGTGTCAGCCTTGGGTATTATTTGGTATCTGAGGTGCATGTAATGCTGTTCTAATGCATAAATACACATGCCTTTGTGCATCTGTGTGTGTGACAGGTGTGGGGGAAGACTTTGTTATGTCTCTTTCAATGGAAGAAAGGAAGGCAGGTTGTCACTGGAAAAAAATATAGCTTTTCAGCAAACAGAAAATTCATAGACCTCCGTGGATGTCAACTGAGAACCTGGCCAAGTGTGCTTGTTATCTCCAGATAAATCTGCCTGGTACCAGCCTGCTCTGTACAAGTGACAATGAAACTAAGTAGTCCCCAAAAGCAAAAAGTCTATGATGGGCTTGCAACAGTTAAAAGCCTGTGATTAGATGGATGTGAACTTCAGCCTGGTGTACTATGATTTGACTTGTGAAATGTGCAGCATCAGTTCTGTGAGAGTTGCTTGGGGAGAAAATAACATCTGCTCTATGACTGGATGGCAAAACATTTTTGTAGTTATAAGCAAGAAACAATTACTTTGTTGGAAGCTAAACAAGATAAACAGTCTGTGAATAAACAACTGCGACATTGTTTCTTGTCTCACCACTGCAGGGGTACAGCAGGGCCTAAAATACATATACCTTTTACTTTTAAAGCAGTTTTAGTTGAAGCTGAAGCAGAAGAGACTCTTCTGGGTTCCAGAGCTAATGTTGCTACTCTTATCTCTGTAGAGCTCAGATGGGAGATTCCCCCCACTAATGCTTTCCAGCTTGCCTCCTCCTCTCTCTCAAACCTCAAGGTCAATCCCTCTACTGACTCCAGAAATTTCTCTGCAGTTTATTTTGAGAAAAATTCAGTTTCCACCAAGTTTGTCTTTTTCCAACCATGCCCCACTGGGAAGCATTTTCTGTGACTTTGGCACTCAGTGGTGATGAACTGCTGTTGTGCCATTTTCCTCATCTATCTGCAGTGCCTGTGGCCTGAATAAGGACCACAGGATTCCCTACAAGTCCTTGCACAATGACTGAGCACCACCGACAGCAAGTTCTCAGTGTGTCTTGAGAAACACTTAAAGCTGCCCTCTTCACTTGGCTGCTTAGGACTGCAGCAACTGTTGGTCTATCATCTATTTCAGCCCACTGAAATTTTCTTTGGTGTATTTCTTTATGCTTCATATTTATTGAGGATCAACTTGAACCATTTTGCTTTGACTGAGCAGACAAATGTTTTGGTATGAGTCATCTGGCACTTTAACACCTTTTATTAATTCTACTATGTAAGTGTAAACCCCCTTATCTGCTGCCAGTAGATCTCTCCTGTCTTCTGCTTCTTTTGCTTTATTTTGCTTTGCACTTTCTCCAGTTCCCACCTTCTGCTTTATATTCTTTATCAGCAACTGTCTTTTTCTTACAGATAATGCACATTAATAATAACATCTCCCACTATCTACAGCATTCCCTGTTTCTTTGTTCGGTTGGATTTTTTAACTACTTTGGACTGTAAGATTGTAGAATGTATAAAAGGATGTTACAGGTGGGATCTGGGGCAGGTGCTGCAGGTGTGCTGTAACTTTCTATTACAATGGGGTTTAAACTAGGTGAAATAATGGTATCTCCTTGCCTGAATACCTGTCAAGAAAGCACGACATGGGGGAGGAATTCAGAAACAAGATGGTGTAAATCAGCTGGCATGTTTCCACTAGCTGCTCTAGAGCTAAAAAATCTACCCAAGCTGATTATGGGCCCTAGATGTTTCAGTTTGTGAAGTGCGTATTTGAGTAGGTATTTTATGCCAACACAGTAAAGCATCTTCTTAATGAATGATTACCCCTGAGACAAGTCTGAATCAAATTATCCAGTGGGAAAGAAGTGGATCTGTGGGACTGATTTTTCAAAGTGACAGTAGTAAGAATACCTTGCTTTTTCATGCTGTAATTGGTGTTGTATTTTCAGTTACTATTTAGTTATTAATATTCTAATTACTGCATTTAGTTATTTTAGAAAAATCCTAATGCATTTTTTTCCAGTAGAAAAGCATTTAACAAATGAGAATTTCTAGTTTGCCTGCTTGTAATACCTAATAGGCTAATCCTTTTTGAGATTAAAAATTTAGAACTGCAGAAGGTGTTTGGATATGTCTTAGGAATCAGTTCAGATTTGCTCTAGGCTACATCTCTGTTGTCAAAAAATAGATCAAGTTTTTCTGAGCCAAACAGTTTATCTGCTGCAGAACCTGAGAACACAGAAGGTAATGGAGGCAATCCATTCAGCTCAGTGTCAGGTTTTGATACCTGGTGTTGAGGAATACCTTCAGTGCAGGTGGCTCGGTGAGCAGCTTCAGTGGAGCTGCAGGTTGAGCTCTGGGTGGTGGAAGCCCCAGGTGACAGGCTGTGAACTGCTGACCCTTTGCACAACAGAGGGCCCAGGGACCTGTGACCCAGCCAGGGTACCAGACACTGAGACACAGCAGGGACCAACAAGCCCAGACCTCCCCACCCTTCGACTGTGAAGGTATGAAAGCCCAGAGTTTCCTTTGTTCGGGGTCCCTCCTGAAAGGCTCCAGTTCAAGGTGTTATTTAGTTTTTGCACCAAGGTTAGATTATTTTAAGGATCCAGATATCTGAGACTCTTCTATGGGAAACTCAGGGCCAAACTGTTAAGGAAAACCTGGTCTGACTGTGTGAGTGTGGGGTGTGTACTTGTTGGGGCCTTGGTCCCAGCTCAGGTGGTGCAAGTGTGACTGCCTGAGTGGCTCCTGGATGGTTGGACAGGGAAGTTTCCTTAACGTTGGGCACTATCAGCTACACCGGAAGAGTGTAAAAACCCACATCACTGGACAAATGTGAGACTCCTTAAAAATTGTTCATTTTGATTAAACCTGATTTAATTATGGGCAAAAGGATGACAGTTTGCTCCCTTTGTCATGTTCAGAATGAACATCAGTGTGCCTACAGAACTAGGATATGTATGCCTTTGAATGCTACAAGGCTTCTGATCTGTCTAACGTTTCTTGGCCATGAGATTCACAAGTTAATTGTGCACTAACAAATGCATATCTTTCCATTAGTCTGAAATGTGTTGCATAGTTGCATAGATTATTTCACTTCCTTTTTTTTTTTGATGCTGCTCTCAGAGATGTTGGTGGTTCAACCTCTTTCCTCTGCCTGATGCCTGCCTAGCCCACCAAAGAGCCTTTAGGGATCTTCTGAGGCTGGTGAAGAAATGGACACTATAAGCCCGTTAAATCTTACCTGTCTTTTGTGTTTGTTGAATCATTATAGAATTTATTTACTTTATAAAGTTCTTTGTATCTTACATGCAGAGTCTCTGTGTGCGGAGCCAAAAGCAGCTATACAAACTGACTCAGGAAAGGAAAAAAATACTGTAAGAAAATATTTATGTGAAACAATGCATTGCTACTGTATCTGTAGAAATAAAATGCAAAGATACCTGAAATGACATTTGGCAAACAAACACTTAAAAATCTCAAGTGATCTTAAGGAGCATTTTCCATTGAAAGGATATGCAATACTTGTGCAGACAGTATTCAAGTGGTTAGAGCAGTGCCTTGGTAAGCAAATTCCTCTTGACATTTCCTATTAAATCTGTACCATCTATGACAACCATACTTTTGTTACTGTACTTACTTCAGATCTCTTCAATGTCATTCTGTAATTCTACACTTTCTTTTTTTCTTTTTCCTTTTTTTTTTTGTAATTAGAGAAGCTAGAATAGGATGTGTGCCTTTCGTATATTACAGCTACTAAGTAACTGTTTTAAAGTTGGCTATATTTTGCTTGCAAATCATCTCTGAATTATTAATTTACTCAGAAGAGAGGGATAACACTTTATTAAGGCCTTTCTATTTGTTACAGCTCTTACAGAGTACTTTCACTAATATAGTAACAATGCTGATAACAGGTTTTGAAGTCATTGCTTTTACCACGTGCAGAAAAATGCCAGAACAAATAAGACCATAAGCATTAAGCTTTCTGCTGAACTGGTAGCTTCCTTTGGATGCAAATATTTTACTCATAATGAGTGTAGAGGAGTTGAGTGAACTATTAGTGTTCTGAAATCCAGAAATAAGTACTGTTTTGTGCTTTGTTCAGACTGCCATAGTTAAACAGTATCATGCAAATAGCACCACGTTAGAAAAACTGGTAGAGATAACAAATATAGAAGTGATTAGTTCCGTGTTGGGTCTGTATGGACAGATCTCTTTCACTGTCCATGTAGGTTCTCAGTAGGT